ACACACACACACACACACACACACACACACACACACACACACACACACACACACACACACACACACACACACACACACACACACATACATACATACATACATACATACATGTACATAAAACTGCTATCAATGATGACCAAATTTTATGTAGAAAAATTAATAAAACATCCATTTTCTTTATTAAAAAAGCCCTCTCACTTCAAAATTGGCATTCAGTTAAAAACGAGAATAATATAGATACAGCATGCCTGAATTTCTACAATATACTCAATAAAACTCTTGACACATACGCACCTCTGCAGTGGCAGAAACAAAAATATAAAAAAGCATGGGTATCTGATGAAATAATAAAATTATCAAAAAAACAGAATCGACTGTATAAAATAGCAGTCGCTGCACCAAACTCCGCTAATGTTGAAAAATATAAAAAGTTTAGAAATTACTTTACATCAGTAAAGCGAAAGGCAGAAAAAAATTATTTTCAACAAAAATTTGAAGAGGCAAAGAGTTGCTCCAAACAAAAATGGGAAATAATAAACGGTATAATGAATAGAAAACAAAACAATCTTGAAATTAATAAGCTAAAAGTTGACGACAAAATCATCGAAGACCCAGAGGAAATAAGTATTCTTTTCAATGAATACTTCATCAATGTCACAGAGAAGCTGTTAGAAAATCAAATAGTTATTGAAGATAAATTAAAAATAAATAGTGCAATCTGTAAATCAATGTATATGAACTCCACCAATGAAGAAGAAGTAACGTACATTGTTCAAAACTTAAGCAACAAAAAAAGCACGTCAGATGATACTTTAAGTAACAATCTACTTAAAAAAATCATCCCAGAAATTTACAATCTTTCCATCGTCCAAGGAATATTTCCACAATGCTTCAAAACATCCAGAGTAGTTCCAATTCACAAAAAGGGGAGCAAATTAGAGACAAGTAATTATCGACCAATATCTCTACTTTCTCCACTTTCCAAAGTACTAGAAAAAATAATTTTTGTCAGAGTCACCTCATTTCTGTCCATAAATAAATTATTAAATGATAATCAATATGGCTACAGAGCACAGCATTCAACTGAGCAAGCTGTGCTGCAATTAGCACAAAATGTTATGAATAATCTTAACGAAAAGATACTGACTGTAGGTGTATTCATAGACCTCTCAAAGGCCTTTGACGTCATCAACCACGATATACTGATTAAAAAATTAAATTCACATGGAATAAGAGAAAAAGTAAGTGCATGGTTCAAAAGTTATTTAGAGAACAGAGACCAGTATGTGGCAATAAAAAATCACTCCTCAACAAAACTTAACGTAAGATCAGGCGTGCCACAAGGATCAATTTTAGGTCCTCTTCTATTCATAATCTTCATGAACGATTTTCAACATGCAACTGATGCAAATCACCTTCTATATGCAGATGACACTAACATCTTCTTCCCAACTAAAGACCCATTGAAAGAAGTAGAATACATCAATAACAGTCTTCAAAATATATCAACCTGGTTTATCAAAAATAAATTAATAGTAAATTATTCTAAATGTAATTACATTATTTTTGGTCCGAAAATTTTAACAAATATTATACCTAACCTAGACATAAAAATGAACAATATTTCTATTCCTCGCTCAACCAGCACAAAATTCCTTGGAGTAACAATCAAGGACAATCTTTCTTGGGATATTCACATAGATACTATGTCTAAAAGAATATGCAAAACCCTAGGAGTTATAAGCAAAATTAAAAATAAATTAAATAAACCTACTCTAATTGACCTGTATTATTCGTTAATCTTTCCTCACCTCATCTACTGCAACGTAATTTGGGGAAACAGTCCTGACATTCATCTAAAACAGTTAACAAAATGCCAAAACCGATTCATCAGAATATTTAAAAATCTTCATCCTCATTGTCACACAA